GGGTGCACTCCATCCCCCTGTCCATGTCTGCAACAAAGACGTTGAACAACACTGGTCCCAGTACTGACCCCTGCAGAACACCCCTTGTCACTGGTCTCCACTTGGACATTGAGCCATTGACCACAACTCTCTGAGTGCGGCTGTCTAGCCAATTCCTTATCCAGCGAGTGGTCCTTCGTCAAATCCATGTCCCTCCAGCTTGGAGACAAGGATCTCGTGTGGGACTGTGTCAAAGGCTTTGCACAAGTCCAGGCAGATGATGTCAGTTGCCCTTCCTCCATCTACCAGTGCTGTGGCCCTGTCAGAGAAGGCCACCAAATTTGTCAGACACGATTTGCCCTTGGTAAAGCCGTGTTGGTTGTCACCAATCACCTGTTTCTTCCTGTGTTTTGTGCACTGTGTGACACCTAAACTGGGATTTCTGGGGTAGTGTACGGAACAGACACAGCAGGCTGAGCCCCTTCCGACATTCATTACTACTGGATATCAGTGCTGTTTTGCCCACCTGCAGAAACAACTGAGGCAGGTCTCTGCTGCCCGCTTGGGCTTTGTCAGCCAGGAGGCCTGCTTGTGCTGAGACCCTCTCTGCTCTTGATTTGAGTTTCTGATTTTGTGCACTGGGAATGGGAGAAACATCAACATACCTGTCCTTAGGAATGATATTTGGCCGCTGTTTGTGTGGAACGTGTTCGGCCAAAGGTAGAAAGTACTCTTAGCTCATCTTAAGCCCTCAAGGGGTTGAAGAGTACGTTAAGTTTGTGCCATCGTAAGAGTAAGCCTGTTAGTGTCTCACCGCCATAGCCTAACAGCCGGCGCTGCCAGGGAGTCGCGCAGCTCTGAACAGCATCCAGGGATGGAAGTGCAGGCCCTGGCTGGATTCTTGCAGCAGCTCTTAAGGTGGGCAGAAATCCCTGTGGTGTAAAGCAGGGAGTTGCTGCTGTGAGGTGACAGGGATGCGAGGACTTACCTTGCAGCCAGGTGAGAGCCTTCAGCATGCTGCAGCCCAGAAACCTGGACTGTGTGACTGGTCCTGCCTTGGAGGAGGGCAGCTGAGCCCTGCAGTGTCACAGAGTCCATCCCACCCTCTTGGTTGTGACTGGAAGGGGAAGATGCTGTGGCTGACATGTTACAGATCAGCTCATAATTTGGTTTTTGTCATCTGTCAGAGTGGTCTCGGTGTAAGAGTTGGTACCTCCAGCGTCTGACAGTCTGGGGTGTGCCCTTGCACGTTTCTTTTCACTGAGGCTCTCTAGTGGAAGTAGCTTCCCTCCTGCCCTGGAGAAAGGAGCCATCTCGTAGAGTCACAGAATCACAGAATAGTTTGGGTTGGAAGGGACCCTAAAGCCCATCCAGAGCCACCCACTGCAATGGGCAGGGACACCTCCCACCAGCCCAGGTTGCTCAAAGCCTCATCCAGCCTGGCCTTGAACCCCTCCAGGGATGGGGCATCCACAGCTTCTCTGGGCAACCTGGGCCACTGCCTCACCCCCCGCACAGGAAAACATTTCTTCCCAATGTCTCCGTCTCCCCTCTTTCAGCTTAAAGCCATTCCCCCTCGTCCTGTCACTCCATCCCCTGATCAAGAGCCCCCCCATCTCTCTGGTATCCCCCTTTCAGCACTGGAAGGTGCTGGAAGGTCTCCCTAGAGCCTTCTCTTTTCCAGGCTGAGCACCCCCAACTCTCTCAGCCGGTCCTCATATGGGAGCTGCTCCAGCCTCTGACCATCTTCGTAGCCTCCTCTGGACCTGCTCCAACAGCTCCGTGTCTTTTTTATGTTGGAGGCTCCAGAGCTGAACGCAGTACAGCTGTACGCAGGGTTCATCCCAGCTGACATGGAAATCTCACATTATAGATTATCTTAAAGAGTTAGTTCTGTGAGATGAGGTGATGTTAACACTTTGGAGTTACTGTTTTCTCTCTCTCCTGCCAGGTATTACTGTAACGTGTGTGACTGCGTGGTGAAGGACTCCATTAACTTCTTGGATCACATCAATGGCAAAAAACGTAAGGATGATTTTTCTGCCTTGTTGGAGGGTTGGTTGAGTTGGAAGGCTGCTGCAGCACTCTGGGCTGTTCGCTTCACACATCACCAGTGTCTGAGTGCTGAACACTTATCCATGGATCATAGTGTGCTTTGGAGATGAGGGTGGAGACAGTACTTGCTCATGAGAGCTGTGGAGGTGCCGCCTTTATCACCTGGCGCCTTCCAGGGCGCTGGCCGTTTGCGTGGAATAAGCCCAGAAGAAACAGTGACTCGTTCACTCTGGTTAGGTGATGTGTTTTCCCCGCTTAGACTGTCTGCACTGTGGAGAAGCCCAGGGTCAGCAAATCTGATGTCTCCTCTGAAAATCTGGAGAGTGGCTTTTTTACAGCACCAAAACTTTAAAGAAATTCTTAGATAAGTAAAAGGTATGGGACTAGCCTGTTTTTTGATTGGAGGCTGCTCTTTATGAAGCTCAAAACAAGCTGATCTCTGAGCTCAAATCGGATTCACAAGGATGGAGGCTGTGTGAGGATGAGCGCAGGCAGGAGTGGGGCAGTTTGACCCTGGGGTTAGGTCCAGCGGTGTGGCCCTGCTGTTGTCCTGCACCTGTCCCTGGTTCTTCTCTCCATTGCTGTAATGATGCAGTTAAATTAGCCCAAGATAAAGACAAGAATAAGAGTTCCCAGTTTGTCAGTCCGTTACTGTGTTTCACTTGAGAAAGAGGACAGTGCCCTCATTGAGCTGACTCTTGTTTCACAACTGTGGGCATTGCTTCTGCTCGGTGTGTTCCGAGAGTGGGCAAAGGGGAAAAGGTAAAGGAGCAGCAGGATGCGCTGGCACACTCTTGGCATGTTGTTCCGCTCCTGAAGGTGATTTTGGCTCCCTGTGGAAGTCAACAAATGTCCCCTTCACAAAAAAGCAGTGATGTGTGCGATCCAGACCTGCACACTTGGCTTTTGAACCTTTGAGAAATGGGGGGTTCAGAAGAGGACCTGAGGGCTGGTTTTCTGTAGCTAGGGAGAGAAAACCCAACGTGTTAAAGCCCTGTGCTTTTGTAGGAGTGGGTGGAGAAAGCTTAAGTGCTTCGTTTGACACATTGGGAGCTTAGCAATAAGTCCGTATGAGAGAATCTGGAGTCAAAAATCCTGGCATTACTTTATGCATGGGCCTGAGATGAAGGGCTGAGCTGGAGTTGGGAAGTGGCTGATGCAGAGCTCTTCTCTACAGCTTTTGATCCAGCCCATAAATCTGGCTGAACCCTGCAGATCTGGCAGCACTCTTACTAGTTCCGGGTTTGGAGGCTGAGCTTCCAAGTGCTGCTGCATCCCTGGGCTAAACCTGTGCATGGCTGCTGGAGTGGACAGGCTTTTTGGATCCACCAGCCCAGGCGGGTTGGAGACATTGCTGGGGCTGGCCCCTTCAACCTGGACTTGCTCCTGAGCGGAAACCTGCAAATCTGCTCTAAAGAGCTGCTGAATCAGAGGTCTGGCTTAATATTTCCTATCTCCACTTCAGGCAGAAATGTCCTGTGTAATCAGGATCTCTAACTGAGTGCCACTCATGTCTTGTTTAGCTTCTCCCACAGCTGAGAGATGCCAGCCTGTCAGTTTTATTCTGGTTCCTTTTTTCAATGCTCTGACCTTTTTTTTCTTTTTTCCCACTGGTCCAAGACTGAATTTCCTGAAGTGTCAGAACACCAACATGATGGGGAGCATCCTAATAGGGAAACTTAAAAGAATAGCCTGCGTTCTTCTTGTTACACCTAATGTATGGATTGTTGTAGTCACTGGCTGGTTTAGGTTATGGTGTCCCCCTGAAGCCCATCCCCTCTGGCATAAGAAATCCCAGTCTGCGTAGGAATATGGGACCAGATGAGGACAGAAAGCCTGTTCCTCTCGGGGGGAGGAGGCACTGCTGCGTCGCATTCCCCGAGCTGTTTCCGAGTTACCAGCAGTCTGTGACGGGACAGGGTGCGGAGAGGAGTGCCTGAAGGCTGGGCGGTGGTGCAGTGCTGTGACAGGGGCTTGGGAACATGGGGACAGCACTGCTCCCTGCGCTTTGAGTGGTGGGTGGCCCAGGAGTCGGTGCGGTTAGGTGAGGTTGGAGCTCTGAGCCTCGAGGACGTATAGCCTCGTCCCCGAGTGTAGGCTGGCCCCGAAAGCTGCTTTGAGGGGCTGGATGACAGGCAGGAAGAGGGTGCCGTGCTGCGGTATTTAAATTGGGCTCAGGGACGGGGCGGGGGGATGTGGAGATCTTCAAAAGCTGAGAGTATCGCCGAACACAGCTGATTCCACCCCTGTTTTCTAGACCAGAGAAATCTGGGCATGTCCATGCGGGTGGAGCGCTCCACGCTGGACCAGGTGAAGAAACGCTTTGAGGTGAACAAGAAGAAGATGGAGGAGAAGCAGAAGGACTATGACTTTGAGGAGAGGATGAAGGAACTCCGTGAGGAGGTGAGTCTGGGCAACGGCTGATGAAGTAGAATCCCCCAAAATGTGTTTCACGAGGAAATCGGCCCCAGTTCCTAATGCTGTTCAACAGAAGCTTTGTTCTTGGTACCACGGGCTTTTCATCTGCTGCTGTGAGTGCATTTTGTTTCTTTGTTTTTAAAGGTTTTCTGCTGCTCTTCCTGGAAACCCTTTTCCCATCTTTCTGTGTGAAAGTAGCTTTTGGTGCTTCAGGTTTCATCGAATCATAGAACCATAG